TGTTAACAACCATTTGATCAATAAATATGAGAGATGCCCTCTCAAAAAAAAAAAAAAATGCTAGGCCTTCCAAAATTTTGCTCGTCCTTTTTGATGTTTAAGAAATATACTTGTTAATAATGATTTTAATTTTTATATTAAAAAATCCTATAAAAGGTAGTGATACAGGATACCAGAAGAAATTAGTCTTGTGATAAATGTTCCCTTGTTCTCATTTACCAATTCCCTTCTGCTGCTTCCTCTCCCTTCCCCAGATAAAGATTATTTAAGCAATAAAGTTGTGAACACCCATTACGTGCACCATTCAGGTAAGGGAACTGTAGCTATAAATTAAATGAAATAGCTACTCTTATAAAGCTCATTGACTGTGAACATGCCAACTAAAAATCTCCAGATTGCATTTACGCAGGTAAAGCAATTACAAAAACTGTTAATTACTTCAGGTTCTATTTTCTGACTTGGTTCCATCAGTATTCCAGAAACTATAAAATCTGGTTCCCAATTACTGGCATTGCTGCTGCTAATAGCCCTGATTCTCCTGGGTTTTATTTCCTGTGAGAATTGATTTAATGTAAGGGGGAAAATGTAGAAAACCAGAGGTACCACTTCACTTAATTTAGAGAGACTCCTTAAATGGACAATAAAGCCAAGGTTTCATAAGAGGAAGTTTTCAGGAGGTATTTGATGGTAGAGAGGGAACTGGAAGCTACAGGGTGGAGCATAAACAAAAGAGACTTGTACAGCTGGAGGGTGCGTGATGGAGGAAATAAAAATCAGGAATGGAAACAGCCATCCAAAGTTGCAACAAAAAAGAAAACAGGAAAGAAAAGCAGATGGTGGTCAGAGGAGGACCTCAAACATTAGAAAATAACATTTTTAGTTGATGTCCTAAATAGGAGAAAGGGGAAACAATAGCAGCTAATGTTCTCTTACATCTTCTTGTCAGACCTGGTCAAGTGCGTCCTGTCCCATTCATTATAAACAGCTGATATTCCTCAGGTGTTCACTACATGCAGCCACAGTTCTAAATTCAGGACTTAGGGGAGTCATCTTATTTAACCCTGAAACAATCCTACCAGGTAAGAACCATTTTTATGCCCATTTTACAAGGTGTAAGATCCCAGCCATATCTGGTTCCTAGTCCCTACACACACTGCTTCCGCATGGAGAGATCAGCCAGCCGCTGCTGAGACTGCCAGCACTCACCCGTTTCATGGTCTCCACTTCTTCCTGGGCACATGATGAACTGACATCTCCCAGCCCCCTGCAGTGCAGTGAGGCATGGGCTGGTTCTCACGGTGAGTGACAGTGATGTTCTTGACCTCCCTAAACTTCTCACGGGACGTTCATGCTCATGCTGTTCTCTTCCCTTGCCAAGAGGGAGATGCAGAGGACCCAGTGGAGAACTAAGAGGCCTAGAAGATGGGGAACCACTAGATGGAAGTGGTATGGGTATGACTGTCAAAGATCCAACTGGACTTTAAGGTTTTCAAGAAATAACCTTTCTAGTCTTAGATCACTGAGATTAGGAGGTTTGTTTGTTTGTTTTTTAATTACAGCAATAGCTTTTTGTTATTAAGACTTCTTTTTCTGGAAAATCTCCTTGTCATCTGTATGTATAGCAGAATCTCAGCAAAACAGCAGAGTGGTTATTGGCCTTACTGGTAAAGATAAAACTTCTTCAGAATTCAGAAGGCTTGGTGACCAGCAACCTGGGAAAATGGGAACCTGTACGCTCATGGAGGCTGTGGAGGCTTGTTAGCCCAGAGCTGGTACAAGATGAGAGACTTAGAAGAATTATCCTGGAACTGTGTTGGAGGATTTCCAAGGCTGAAACAGATCTTTGTGTTCAGGCCTCCTTCTTTAGTCTCCCAGGTTGCTGAGAGATTCCGGGTTCACTCTGTGTGCATCACCCAAAGGTTTCCTGGGGAAAGTTCTGTACACTCTTCACTGCTCTCAGCATTTGTCTGAATCTCCAAGCTTGACACTTTCGCAGCTCCAGACAATTCTGTGTACTCTGATGTTTTAACCATTCAATCACTGCTGCCACATCTAGGCCACTGGGGACCTAAGAACAGAAGAGAAATGGGATTGGGATCTTTGGGTCTCTGTCAACACGGAATGCTTGCCAAGCTGCAGTAGGAGATTCTCCTTTCTTCCCACCCCCAACCAATCAGCGCAATGCACATGAGTGGTTCATGAATAGTAGAGGAGAGGTGATTTGGTGATGTTAAATGGAAAACTCAGAAGAAAAATAAGGAGATTAATGGAGCATGGCTATTGCTTACTCCTGTTTTCCCACCTAAAGATCCTCAAAAGATCCTTCTGGATTTGCTCTGCCATTGGAATGAGGAGAAAAACTTAAGGATGCAGAACCAAGGATCTATGGAAAGAGTGACATCTTGGAAGGCTGCAGGCCTAAATCCCTGGACAGGAAAGAGCCCAAACATTCTCTGAAGGTGAATAAAAATGATCTTGTCTAAAACAAGGTCAATCTTTGGACTCTCTCTCTTTGGCATCCTAGGCTTAGCTCTTGGTCAAGTGCTGCCGTAGTTATTTAGACTGGCAGATCCCCAGTCTAATTTTTTAAAAAAAAGCAATCACCCTTGTGTCGCCTGCAGGAGCAATGAGCCAACCAGTATTCTGAGTGCCTCCCTGACACCAGAGATTACTTCATTCTCTTTTAAGATAATCAAATACATATCCCTAAGAGAAAGTGTGATTTATTGCAATATCTTCTCTGAGTACCATAAAGTAATAGAACTTTGAAGCTGAACAAAATCTTAACAAAACTTAATTTTTCTCTTTTATGAAATGAGTATGTTGGACTAGAGCATCATTAAATATCCTTCCAACTGTAAAAGCCTTTGATTATGTATATATGATGTATGTATGTACATACACACATACACATAAAAAGAAGCCATAAAGTATCAAGCTGAAGTTTTTTTAGCAAACATTCCAAAATGTCTATATAATCCATTTTTTGAACAAATAGGTCTCAGCAGCATGTGAACATGAAAGCAATTTTAACCTTACCCACCATTCCCTAGTAAATATAAACCATTTTCTAGGCCCTAGAAAACTCTCAGACAAGTCCCATAGCTTTTCCAGGCCCAGTAACAGTCATTTTAAAAGACCAAAACAGTTTAACATCAAAACTCCAATCTGATTCTCACCTAAGCTTACAGTTCAAGTTGGCTTCAGGCTTGTAATCACCTACCGATATGCAGATGACTTCTCTCCACCCCTTGGAAACACCTATTGCTATGGAAATGCACTAAGGCCAGGTGAGAGATTCTGGAAATACTGCAATTTTACCCACACAAACTGTGGTATGTTTGTATAGACATATGACAAATGTGGTTAAAGATTGCTGACAACTGCAAAACTCAGATATGTATGATACGTTATTAGTTACAACCTCTGCCAGTTATGCGCTAAATCTCAGACTTGTAAACATCTGTTTGCTCTAAGAAGCCATCAAAAATTCCATTAACTCAGAAATAATGACCTCATTGTGCCCCACAATGAGCTCCTTTCTCTCATAATTAGCAGTTAATATTAGCATGACATAATAGAAATTGTATTCCTACAAGCAAACCAAAATATGGTTTATTTTATTATTCATTTAATTACAGGAATTGAAGGTGGAAATTAATTAGAGATTGGCAGCATGTGATCCAGCTCAACAAGTTTAAAAACAATCCCTAAACAAGTATATTTTTAAGCAGTAATGACTTGGCATTAACATTTCCAGGCATCTAATGAATGGCTAGATGCATTTGGTCAAAATACATCAGGGATAACTGGGTGGTAACCCTGAGGTCAGTGTTGCTTAACATGAGTAATTAGTCTTTGGGGCTTAAGACCAATCCCTACAAGAATGATCTCAGTTTTAATCACCACTGAAATAAAAGAAAAATAAATGAAAGTGAACTTATTTAAAATATTTCAATGGAAGAAACAAGGAAGTGGTTTGGCTTCTTTCCTTACCCCTGGAAAATAGCATGACACACAGCAAGTGTTCAGTGAATATCATTCTTGATGGTGAAAGGAACATGAAGACAACAATGTCAGTGTTCTTAGGACAGGCCATGTCATTGCCCCACTCTTGCCCACAAGCACTGGGTGGAATCACAGTCGTTTTTTCAGCAACTATTTGTGCAGCAGTGTGCAAGGTGTTGGAGACACCACAGCCAACCAGACATCGTGGTTGCCCTTAAGGTACTTGTAACTGTAGGGAGGCAAGCAAGGAGATAGGCACTGGCACGCTGCTGACTCTGGGAGTACCTGGAAACAGAAAGGGCTGTAAGGAGGGATTCGTTATTTCTGACTGGGATTTAGGAAATGAGCTTGAGTTAGCCAGGAAAAGAGTCCCAGGAAGTGCACAGAGCCTAGCAGGTAGCACAGTCAGTGTATTGCAAATAATTCAGTGTGATGGGGGAGGGGAAGGGCTGATGAGACAAAAGATCAGAGAGGCAAGCAAAGAACCCTGGGTGTGAAGGTCCTTGGAGGTCATGTGGAGAAATTTGGACTTTGCCCTCAGGGTAATGAGGCACCATCAAAGGATGTAAAGTGGGGAAAGGGGAGGGATGCTCTGATGTGAAGGTGTAGAAAGAATATTGGCTGCAATGTGAAGAATGGAAGGAAGGGGTAAAAATGGAGCCAGGGAGACTAGTCAGGAGGCTGTTGCATTAACCAGGTGAGAGAAAATAACTTGAGCTAACCTAGGTACAATGAGGATATGCAGAAATAAATGGATTTGAAATATTCAAGAAGTAAAACAGACAGGTCTTGGTGATTGACTGGACGAGGGAATGTAGCAGAGGGAGGAGGCCAGGACAACTAGAAGGATGATGGTGCCACTCACTGAGAGAGGGAATACAGCAGGGGAGTGGGCTCGGGGGTAGGGATGAGAAGCTCAATTTAGGATGTTCCCATTCTAAAATGCTGGTGATGGGACAAACAGAAATGGAACCCACAGAGGATTCCAAGAAGTGTGGTAAGAAAAGATGGATCTCACTAAAGCCACGGGAAGACAGTTTCAAGAAGACAGTGGTCAGCAACATCAGGTGCTGCTTAGGGTGCAAATCAGATAATGTCCAAACAGCAGCCTTAAAATTTAGCAACAACCTTGTTAGTGATCTTGGCAGGTGCAGTATCTGAGAAATGTAGGGAGAGAAGCCAGATTTCAAGGAGCATTTCAAAGTGGATGGTAAGAAAGTGGTGATGGTGAGTACAAACACCTGTTTCCATACACTTGCCTGAAGATAAGGAAGTGGACGGATGTTTTAAAATGTAGGTTTCATCATTATTCCAGTGATGTGAGGCCACCAGATCAGGAGACCACTGCCACAGGAAAGATAGTTCATTACTCATAGTTCCCAAGAGGATGGGGCTTACCAGGCCACCAGGGGAAGCACCAGCAGCGGTCAGGAGGCAGACAGAGGGGTGGAAACACGGGCAAGAGACTACACTGTGGTTTGTACAGGAAGGCAAGGCAAGGCTAGGTATCCAAGGTTTGGATTGGCTAGTTGGTATCATTTCAGCAGGCTCTGGAATGTAGGGGCTGTCTCTGTCTAGCCTCTGGCCCTGGGGTGACTAGGGCAGAAGACAGTGGGCCAAGGGATGCACCCTCTGAGAGCCCCATAAAGGAGGTGGTGGGGTGGGGCTCTCTGTTGGTTAGTTTGTACATGAAAGATACTCTCAGGTGAGCTGTTTTATATTTCTAGGGATCAGCAAACTCTGGGAGGGGCAGTCCCTTCCTGGCCCGCAAGACCTCAAGTGCCAGAACATTAAGAATATAAAACTATGAAAATACATTGGAAAGGAATATGGTAGCAAGGGAGGGTATTCTTTTTAGGGTGGGAGAAACTTGGGCTTGTTTAAGTGCTGATAAAAGGATTCAGCAGCAGGTGAGGCAACAGGAAAGAGAAGGGACCTGCAGTGGAGCAAAGTCTACCAGACTGCAAGAGAAATAGCTGTGGAAGTGCCCTTGGCAATGAGCAATCTCTTCACCTGTGATAGAAGGAAAGGAGGAAAGGATGGGCATCTATGCAGGCATGTGAGGCAAGAATGTGAGGGAGTTTGTTTCTGGTGGCTTTTATTTTCTCTTATGAAGTGGAAAAAAGTCCCCAACAGAAGACTGATTTAAAAAAGAAATATATATATATATACACATACACTAACTTTATGGTCACACATTTTCTCTCATTGTGGTTTCACTTATAAGTAGAAAACAAGACCAAACAAAACCTGTCATTCTATTGTTTTCTTTCCATCCTTGAACAGGTGGATCTTAACTCCCAGCCACCACCTGCAGGCCCAGGGGTGCCTTAGTGAGCAGTGTGGGGAGAGCGCCACAGATCCTGACGAGCTGCCTCAGCTCGGAGGGGCGATTCTGTGTGCTCGGGGAGCCGGCAGTCACTGGAACACTGGGAAAGCCAGGGAAGGGAGGGTTTGCTGAAGCCCAAGAGGACCTGGTAGCCCTAGGAAAGGATATTGAAGAAGCCTCTTACCTCAGAGAAGCAAAGGCTAAGGAGAAGGAAAAAACAGCTCAAGGTAGACATCCAGAAAGAGCCAGCACAGTCTACTCCTAGATGACCACAGCTCCCTGAAGCACTCCATAGGCTGTCTGTTCTTGAAGACGCTACCTTGTCTTCTCACTCTCTCAACATCTCTCTCTCTGTTTTATATTTGTTTGTGATTCTTTAGACCAGTTTCTGTATACACTAGCTTCAGTAAAGCACTAATCTGCTTAAAGCCCATGTGATTATTTCCTGTTCTTAGCTGGCTTCATAATATAGTCAAGAAAGCTGAAGCTGTTTCATACTCCCAGTCCTCACTTCCCACTGTGTCTTTACAGGGTGGAAGGGGAATTTTCACCCCACACAGCTGCCCCCAAAGGCTGCAGGAGCCCGTGCATGTGCAGGTGGCCCAGACCCCATTCCGAGTGTGCCCTAGGAGGTCCTCACTGAAAAGCAGTTTCCAAGGTTCTGGCTTTCCCTGCTGTTCTCAGCAATCGGCTTTCCAAATCAACTACGTAACAAAGTCGTGGCCAAGTTATTTGCCAAAATGGCCAGACCTCCCACTGGATCTTGAGGAAACTGAGAAGCTTTTCCCACGCCTACCCTCTGCCCACACTCTGGGGATCAGGTTTTTGTGCACCACAGAAAGGGGAGTCGTTGAGGGTCACCCGATCTGTCGCTGGCACCCCCCCCCACCTCTGCACACACACTCTCCCTAAGTATTGCAAAATAGAGAGGCTGAGACCTGCATTAGTAAAACCTTTAAAGAAAAAGATTTCATAAACTTACGCAGTGACTATTTCAAAACCAAATAGCGTTCTGATTTTGCCAATCCCTGAAATGAAAGCAGGGAGAGTGTGTGTGTGTTGGCGGGGAAGGGGTGTGGTAGGGGAGGCAAGGAGGGGAGTGTCACGGCAGAAAGGGAAAACAGGAAACAGTATTAAGAGGAAGATCCAAAGAAGGAAGAGGCTTAACAGTCCCCTAAATTGGGAATTTTGTGTGAAAGTATAAAGTCCTCTCTCTTTTCTCCTTCATTACCTATCAAGCATTTTACCATGTTTGGGAAAAATAAAATGGGACCTACTGCACCACTAGAAATGTAGCTGTTGGAGAGTTTTTTTTCTCACAAAATAAATAAACACAAATAGAAATCCAGCAAGCCAAAGTCAATAGTTCCACGTTCGTATCAGGCTGGAGGAGACCGTCCCTCAGGGCTCCTAAGCCACAGCCCTGCTGCCATGGCTCCACTCTTCCACTTCTCTTGCTGAAAGAGGAATCAACGCACTGAGGAACCCCTCTGCGTGCCTCGAATTCTCATGTTCTCTGACTGCCCTTGGCTAAGGGCCACCAGTCGAAACACACAGCTGTTCCGAGCCTCTTCACCAACTCCATTCTCTCTGTGCCCCAGGGAGGGAGCACACACCTCCTCCCTTCCCAAAAGTAGATCCTGCTCTTCTGGCTGATTTGCTGGGACATCTCAGCCAAGACAATTCCCTACTGACATGGCAAAGACTACAGCCCAAATCCCTCACATTTCTCAGTCAAATCAATGGAAACATCTTTTTTTTTTTTTTTTTTGCCAGCAGGAACAGCCAGTGCAAATAGTTTTCTGCCTGGAAATAGACCATCTGTCTGGACAAGTGGGTGGGCGTGGGGGTTCTGATGGACCTTACATCATTTAGGAAATGGATTGTTAATGGCTAAAGTTAAGAGGTTTGTTGAGTTCATGGTAGTTACAAGGAGAGAGCTTTAACTTCCTTCAAAAATGGTGACCACTGGTCACCACTAGCCACCATGAAGTCAGAGCCCCAGTTCAAAGACTCTCCCTAGCATGTATTTGGGTGCTGAGACTTCATATGGGTGTTGCTGGCAGCTCTGGAGAGAGAGCTCAGCAGGTCCCTGCCTTCCTGGAAGGCTCCAACCAGCTGATGGCAAGGCCAGGAAAGAGATGCAAGAGACACAGAGCACTGGGCACAGAGACTCTGCCATAGTGGCTGTAATTCTTCCTTAGGACAGCTTGGAAGTCTGGTGAACTTAAACAGCACCATGAAAATGGGACTTTCAACAGAACTAGCCGAATTTCTTCAAGTCAATAACATGGGAAAGGAGGGAAAGGACTGCTGTTAAAAAAAATTCTAAGACCTAACAACTGAGTGTCTGCAGTTGGTTAGTCAGTGGATGCTAGGTTGAGTAAACCAATTGTAAGAAAACCTTCTGGGCCCAACAGTGATATTTGGGAACTATCGCTTATTTTATTAGGTGTGACAATATGAATATGTGTGCGATAATGGTATTGTGGTTCTGTCAGAAAATGTCCTATTTTTAGAGATGGATGCATGAGAATATAGGGGTGTAATGTTACTTTATCTGAAATTCACTTTCAGATAGTTGGGCAAAAAGAACAGGTTACATAAATATAACAAGGTGTAAGCAATCAATAAATCTAGGTAAATCTGGTTAAGTGAGTGCTCATTGTGTACAATTCTACTCTGTTCATATGAAAATGTATGATTTTAAAAATTTAAAAACATAAAAAAGGCTAGGAAGGTGAGAAGAAAAAACTCCCCTTGTAGGTCAGTTATTCCCTAAAACACTGTAGACTATGGGCAACAATAAATAAAACCCAGTTGTCAGGGTAACAGCTCAGTGTAAAAGGCAGACAAGTAAGCAGACCATGCCCCAAAAAGACAGATGCCATGGGAGCTAGGGAGGAACATGGCCCCAAGTGGGCGGGGAACTGGGGACTGGTGTTTGAAGAGGGGGGCTTCCTGAAGTACATGATACCTGGGCTGAGGCTTTGTAAGTGTAAAGGCTTATTGGTCAAAGAAGTTACAGGATTGGCTTTCCTCTTCTATCAAGGAAGCACTCCCAGACTTGAGGGGTGCAGGCTGAGAGAGTGGGTAGAAAAGGTGGATATGGGAAAGGGGATTGTCAGAGGAGATGGCATTTTAAGCCCATTCCATATTAAGGCAACCTAGCTTAATATGCCCCTGAGAAGGGCTAAGTTTTTTTTTTTATTAAGATATGATTGATATACAGTCTTATGAAGGCTTCACATGAAAAAACAATGCAGTCACTACATTCACCCACATTATCAAGTCCCCACCCATACCCCAATGCAGTCACTGTCCATCAGTGCAGCAAGTTGCCAGAGATCCACTATGTCCCTTCTCTGTGATGCACTGTTCTCCCCGTGATCCCCCACACCATGTGTACTAAACATAACACCCCTCAGTCCCCTCTCCCTCCCTCCCCACCCGCCCTTACACCCCTCCCCTTTGGTAACCACTAGTTCATTCTTGGAGTCTCTGAGTCTGCTGCCATTTTGTTCCTTCAGTTTTGCTTCATTGTTATACTCCACAAATGAGGGAAATCATTTGGCATTTGTCTTTCTCTGCCTGGCTTATTTCACTGAGCATAATGTCGAGTAGGGCTAAGTTTAACTGAGGGGCTCTGGGTAGAGGTCACAGGTCAAGAAAGATGTTTCTCAGAAAAGCCAAAAGTAGGTCATAATGAGGTGAAAATGGCCTTAAAAAGGCACAGAGACTCTCAGGCAGACTCAAAGTTTAAGGCAGGGGTTGGCAGTCTTCCCAAGCAAATCTTCATCAACCATCCTAGAGGCCCTGTGCTTAAGCTCCAGGTGTCTATTCTGCTTCAAAGAGGGCTCCAAAGTAAACCTCTATCCCTGCTTAGGGTTCTAGGGTTCAGATATTTTCAAATAAAACTTCATCTTTGTTAAATTTAACCAATCCACTCTCTGTGGGTACATTGACCTAAAAAGAGGCAGACAAGAGCAGTGAGTATCCGGAACTACCTGGCATCTGCAGGTTAAACATGTCCTCTTTGCAAGTCACGTCTGGGCAGTGGTCCCCACAGCCCCCAAAAGTTCCCTCAGTGCAGTAATGATCCACCACCCTATGCTTCCAAAAGGACTAGAAGAGTCAACTAAAAAGAGGTGTAAATTATTCAGAAGAATAAAAGCCTTAGAACTATTGGAAGACTCATGGGTATGAGGTTTGGAAGGAAATTTGCAGAACTCATCCAGTCTTCCAACTGGCAGGAGTCCATGACTTGGAAGTTTATGCCAAATTGACCCATCAGAGAGTATACACCTGTCTTTCTCTTCAGGAGAGTCAGCGCTTGTGATCAGGGGTCGTTTGCAAGTTGAGACAATGTTAGAAGAGAGTAAAAATAAACTGAGAACAACTCATGTCACACTCAGATTTTTTTTACTGTGAAAAACTACTTGAAAGTAGTTTTCAAGTTTATTTGTCCAATGTCAGCATGACAAGTAAAGGAAGCCGAAGTTTTTCTAGCTAGGGGATAGGTGCAATAGCCACATCTTAGACTGTGGTTCCATTCCAAAAGTAGAAAACGTGTATGCTCACATTCAAATCCCTTTCTTTTCCTTGAAAATGCAATATATAGTTAGATTATCTTCTAGCATTCAAACCCAGTTCAATGTCCTCAGTTGAACACCAGATAAAATAGTTGACTTGTATTTAGAGGCTGTGTAGCCTTTGAAAAACAAACAAACAAACACCCCAACACACTGAAGCAGTAGAACCACATTCTGAGGGCAGGATCATCACACCCTGAGAGGCCCTAGGAATGGGACCCACCCAGCGCAGGCAGGCCCCAGCTTCCTGGCACCCCCCTGTGGAGGCAAGACCTGGGAAAGCAATAGCAGACAGAGCCACTGCTCTGTGGAAATTGCCCTCTATCTCCTCTCACCTTTGCTAATGCACATATATTAGATTTTCCAAAAGCTAAATATGCTGATGATGTAATTCCAGACATAAGTTTAAAGAGTTGAATTTTCAATAGTCCCTTTTCTTGATCTATTCTGTAAGGTCTTGTTAGGATTTCTACAACTGCTTACATGGAGCTGAAATGTTTATAATAAATAAACCAATTGTTCATTGCACACTTAATGTTCAACAGGCACTTGCTAAGCATAATGACTGAGTGGACAGAGAAGTTGAAAGAGAAAAACCTAGGATGCTGAATTGCCAGAAAGCAATACAGGATGATTCACAAGCAGATACCACCTTGGTTTGTCGCAAGAGGTATTAAGGCTGCTCTGGGAGGGGTGAAATCTCTGCAAGCTGGGGGCAGCTGGGGGGCTTGAGGGCTGGTGTGTCTGAGCCAGAAGGCCAGGGCCTCAGCTCAGACCTCCATGGCCAAGGCGTGCCTCTGCCACTTACTAGCTGTATGACTTTCAGTCTCAGTTTCACTTCTGTTAAATGAGGATAATAATAGCACAAACGTTAAACTTTGGGGATTAAATAAGATCATGTATAGAAGCACCTGACACATAGTAAGTACTTAATAAGGGCTATGATTATGATTATCATCATTCTGATCAGAGCCCTGAAGGATGGGTAGGATTTAAACAAGAAGAGGGAGAGAGAGAGCAGAGCCCAAGCTCTAAGGCCATCTGGAGAGTAGATAATGGGAAGGAAGTACGGCGGAGATGAAACGGATGTGAGTTCTGATCCTGGTTCTCCTATTTTCTGGTGATTTGGGGCAAGTACACT